ATCAAATAATAATTAAATGTAAACAACGATGATGTCAACTATTTGTAGTGAAAGTAATGAAAAAAATTTTAATCTAGTGCATTCTTTAATTTATATAACGTTATCTCTAGAAATTAGCAGTAAGCAATAAATATGAAAAAACTATTAATTGCGTTATCTGTTCAGATTAATTTTGATATTATTTTAGATAAAACTGTAAATGATTACCAACTCTAAATAATCGATATCGATATCACTTAAGAATATCTTAAGAAAATTGTAGGTTTTTACAGTTGGAATACCTAGTCCAATAATTGTGACAGCTGTCAAAAAGTATTTCTTAGATTTGGTGGAGATTGGGTGTCAGACATTGGCCTCCACCTACCTTTGTGAGAATTTATAATATATAATTGCCACGCTCAGCAATCGGACCGAGACGAACGAAAGATAAGATGGTTATATCGCTACCTATTGGAAACCATAACATCTTTTTGATTTTTTTAATGAAAGATGAGATAAATATCTCCAACATCAGGGGAATTGCTGGTGCACTGCCGGCATTTTATAAAGGAGTAGGCTTTTTTCTTAGAGGTCCCTAAGTTGAATCGGTTCGTGTGGTCGTGCTAAGCAGAAAATTGCCTGTGATATCGTGCCAATAACGCTGGCTCCATTTCCTCGTTGAATGGCTATAATAAGCCTTTGAGCGAGAAATGAAACAGCCCTATTATCATCAGCAGCAACGACCAGTCGCGGATTGAGTTCCTTTGGGAACTTCACCGCACGTAGACCCCACGGACCGATAGTCTCTACAGCAAATGGTACAAATATGTAGTCATCTCTCAGAGAATCATATTTGTGCCACTTACTAAGCCTGTGATACCGCCCTGGCTCTAAATAAGGTACCCTTGAGATGAGAAGCCGCCAAAGTGTCTACACAAGTAGCATCCCATACCTCTATCCCAAGAGACCAATGTCATACCGTCGAGTTTCTAAATATTCCACAAGGCTCTAAAACCGAAAGAACATTTATGGAGACAAGAAACCTTCGGATGACATCGTTCAAAGAACCGTGCTATGAAAACCTACCAGCACTTTTCTTACATGAAAGTCCGTAGAGTCAAAACTTGTCAACGCTGCTATCACAGGGGCACTGATGGGGTTGACAAATTGCCGTTGACAAAAAGCTTTCCCCATCAAGTAATATACCGAGATTATTTGATGGTAAAGCGTGTAACCAGTGACTAGATTCCTTAGTCGAAAACAGCTAGAAGGCGTGTCTGATCTTGGCCGCTATCGAAATTATGAAACAAATCTTTCTGCATGCTCTGTACGAACGGAATATCCCACTGTTTTTGTTGGTTAACTTCCAGTGGAACATTTTCCCCGGATAGAGCATTCGCCATGTACCCTGCCTCCGAAGCAAAGCAAAGGTCTAATTTAGCATTTAAAATAATGTGACTCAGCACAGTAAGCTCACGGAGCAAGGAAAGCAGGCAATGCAATGCGTAGGACGGCTACCGTTATCCTTTTTTTGAAGGCACATAATCTTGTTACATATAAGAATGGAATAAATTTTTTATTAACATTACCAGAAAGCATAAAATTACATAATTTCGTCATGTCATTAAGAAGTACTCTGCCGGTGACGCCGGCAGAAGCGCGGCAAGATCTTTAAGATGTTGAGGCGTAATTCCGTCAATGCAGCCAGCAGAGCCATTCAAAAATCACATAATTGGTTCTAAAGTGTCTTTTTCAGAAAATAAAGGTTGCAAAGAAGTTACAAAGCTTTCGACGAAGGTCTTCAAGTGTTTCGACGTTATGAGGAGACAGGATGTTGTCAGAGAATAAAAGACGGGATGCATTTTTTAAGTTACCATACACTACTTTTTTAAATCAAATTTAGGACGAGGTCGAGATAAATGAGTATTAATTGGGTAATGTAAATTTTGAAATGATGTCTCTTTAAGTTGAGATGTAATTGATTTATTTATTGTTTTATCAAAATGAAAATGGGAATACGCAAAAGTAAATAATTTTTGCTAACTCTTGTCACTATAAGTGAAACAATTATGAATAGTGCATGAATGGATGCTTAGCGGTCCACCACTGTACGTTTCACTAGGAGTTTTCTTCCGCATACGACCTCTTTGTGGAATAGCTTACCACCGGCGATTTTTTTGGACCGATAAAACATAGGGACCTTCAAGAAAAGAGCCTACTCCTTTCTAAAAGGCCGGCAACGCATCTGCGATTCCCCTGGTATTGCAGTTATTCATGGCCAGCGGTAGTCACTTACCATCAGGTGAACCGCATGCTCGTTTGCCCCCTCTCCTATAAAAATGTATATTTAATCCACTTTTACCTTTAAACAACCTACCGTTGGTACAATTTTGACAGTAGGAAATCGGGCTATGACTGTAGCGGAGCGGAGATACAATTAAATATCCAAATGCAGATGCATTGTTACCCTTGAGGACTATGATGACGATGATGCTGACGATGACGATGATGCTGACGATGACGATGTCGATGACGACGGAAATGATGATAACGATGACGATGATGCTGACAATGACGATGTCGATGACGACAGAAATGATGATGACGTTGAAGATGACGATAACCGTGACGATGACGATGACAATGACCATGCCTATGTCTGAGTATATTATAATATAAACTAAGTATAGACGTAGTAGAGCCATGCTGCAGCTATATTAGTAGTATAGTTGCGTAAAAATCGTAGATAAAATATAAAACGCGTAAAATAGCAGCATATTGCTGCTGTGTTTCGTATGGTGAGTGTAGAGAACCGGAGACCCTTTTTTACTGGAAACAAGGCATTCCATCTTAGTCCCCAGCATTTAGTAAAAAATTGTAATTTTGACACTTCAATTTTATTAATTTGTATAGTTGATATACCATTATTGCAGTTTTTGAAAATACGAGTAAATAAGGCTTCTACTTTTATTTCAAATTATCCTTACTTGAATGTGATTTATGGACTACAACGTACCGATCGACCCTTACGAATGTGTACAACAGTTTAGACAACGTGTCTGCATTTTGATTCGTAACCGATGTCTAGGGGCCACAGCAACCGCTTAGCATCAGGTGGACTGTGTGCTTGTTTGTTACTGTTCTATTTTGTTGTTCTATTAAAAAATATTCAATACGTGGTAGAGCTATGCTGCAGCTATATTGGTAGTATACCAGCTCGACGTATCTTTTTTACTGGCACTTGTCGCACACTTAAAAAGAGATGTCGCGTTCTGACCAATTCGATTTTGTACAGTGCTCGTGACAGTAAATCACAGTTTGTTACCATTAGTGAGCTCATTACAGTCTGAATATTATTACACACACTGTAAAGGATCATTGCTTGTAAATAAAGTCTTCTGGATTTTAAAGTAAGCATGTTATAAACTTAATAAACTTACTTTGAAAAGCTGTAAGAAATATAGAGATTGTCCTGACTTGTTTTTACTTTAAGAAAAATAATAAAAGACATTCCTACAAGTCACGTTATTCTCCGCCGTGTTCTACTAACAAAGCTCGTTATTTATTTTAACAGGTATCTTCTTTATTTTCGTAATAGGATTTAGTTTTAATGAAACTAGTTTTCTATACATTTTATGTGACTCCTTTTTTATTGGATTAAGGTGGCAAACGAGCATACAGTCGTAACGGTAAGAAGATTTTGTTGATTAAATAGATATATATAGATCTCTCTGTCACGTACCGTATTTTTCCCTGTGATAAAAAAAGCTGTTCTACGTCGGTTGATGCGTTAGCAGCCTTCGAGAGCCGTAGAAGAGGCGCCTGAGGCTGACTGTAAAAAGTGTTTTGAAAATTGGTTCAGACGCATGAAACTTTGAATAGATGCCTGCGGAGAGTTGTTGAAAAGATTAAATAATAAAAACAATATAACTTAACTATTTTTTTAATTTCACAAACCTTTCCGAGTAGCCCATAAAGTAAACAACGAATCAATCCGATTCAATGGCTTTGATGTATCCATAAGACTTGAATTGACTTCCATTTGACGTTACCACGAGCTTTGTAGATTTAAAGTTAAGAAATTAATTACAAAATATAAAAAGTTCAAAAATATAAATATAATTGGAATTTAATTTTATGTGAAATTTTCTTTAACTGATAATGTAGTCTACAGAACGAAAAATAACATACACACATAGACAGCGTCACGTCTGTAATCCCCGAGGGGGTAGTCAGTCCAAATAACAGCGAGCTATTCGGACCAGTAAGTTAAGTTATTGGCCCATTAGTTGTCTTTTATGTCATGTCAAGCAGATCTACATTTTTTTGTTATAAGTGCTACTCGTACATAAGCATGGATCTACAAGTCTGATACCAAAATGGGATGGGATGAAAAATAAATTTAGCTTTAATGCTCTGACAATCTGACATTATTTGAGCCGTTGTTCTTAAAGGTTCTACAATACAGGCTGCATGCTGCAAACAAATCGAAATCAATCCCAGATCAGAACAACGAAATTATTGTATTTATTTCGTGTCAAGAAAGACATCGTCACTAGTGTGCGTTTTTGTGCTAAGCAGCTGTGCTTTGGCAGCTCACAGAAACCTACATTTATCCTTTATTTAAAAGCACAATAAAGATGTGTTATCACCACGGAGGATTGAGATAGAATGCCTCGTTTCTAGTAAAAAAGTCTCCGATGCTCATCACACATCATACAATAGAAACAGCGTAGCATTAGCTGCTATTTTACGCTGGTAATTTGTGAGAGCTTAGTACTTCCCCGATTTAGCCGACCCATTAGTAAAACTACTATGTGTAGCTCAGTCACGTGGCTTGGTGGAGTTTTTCTTGCCCCAAGAACTCTCTCAGAAATTAAAGGACAGTTAAATCAACAATTGAAAGAAAAAGGTACGTCTTAACAATAGTTTATTTTCAATTTTGTACTAATAAATCATTTACAAAAATAAAAATAATCAATTTCATTGTACAATAAATAATACGACAAAGATTTGGTTTTTTACCAGCCATAGCTGGCACCGAGACCGGTGTAGCTGACATGTGAGACAGCTGGCGCAGCAGAGTATGTGACGGCAGTCTTGAGCGCTGGCACGGCTGAGTACGTTGAGTAGGCGGGAGCGGCAGCGGCGTAGGTGGTCAATGGAGCCGCGTGAGAGAGGGAAGAGTAGGATAGAGCAGGAGAGATAGTCTTAGCTACAACAGGAGTGGCATGGTAAGTAGAGTACGCTGGAGATGCGTATGTAGAGTAAGCGGGGGCAGCGAACGTCTTTGTAACTACAGGGGCGGCCGCGGCGTAAGCCAAAGGTGCTGAGTGAGACGAGATAGTCTGGTAGGAGACCGATGGCGCTGAGGAGTAAGTCGCAACTGGCGCGGAGAACGTTTTAGCTACCACGGGTGCAGCGTAAGTAGCGACGGCCGGAGCAGAGTGAGTTGCATACGATTGGTAAGACACGGCAGGAGAGTACGACTTGGCAACAACCGGCGCGGAAGCGTACGTAGTTAACCCTGGACCCGCAGCGTATGTGGTATATGGTCCATTGTGTGAAGTTTGCGATGAATACGATACGTGTGACACCGCAGGAGCCGAGCTGTAGGCCACGGGAGCGGCGTGCAAAAGATTGCCGGCGGACGCGATGCCCGCTGCGCACAGGAATACTAGCACCTGCAAAACAAATTTCTAAATTAACCTGTTGAAAAGTAACATAATATAATTTCTTGATTTCATAAAAAAATCCTGTAGAGTTTAATTATGACGAATTCTAAAGAATGGCATAAGGTTCCTCCGGGTAATTTCGTATATTGTGTCAGATATACACACACACGCACACAATTTACGCAAATACGGCTTCTTGTTATAATTGAACTCAAAGGCCATGACTGTAGGTCTCTAAGCAACCGCCTACTATAAATAACACCAATACTTTAAAGTAAAAAAATACACGTTCCACTGCTAAGCACACGCATCCAACTTAATTTCCCAGAGCGTTATGGAGTAGTTACACCATTGCGCTGCTCAGTGCGACTTCGCGTACTTCGCTTGTTTTTATCATGGAGGTTTCCTCACAATGGTTTTCTTCACCGTCGACCACGTGGTAAATCAGCACTTAAAATTGCAATTAACAATTTAATTGGTGCCGACGGGGATTGAACCTGGGGGGTTCACGTACTATGAAATTTACGAACGATATAGAAACGCGGATAAAATATTTTTAATGCATACCTTAGAGTACATGTTTGGACTACGTGTTTGATGAATGTATGAATATAAGAGCTCTCGCGTCTACTTTTATACTTCATGCACAAACTGGTACCGAATCTTCGAAGTCGGTTTGTGCAATAACCAATACTTAGTGCTTCACTCGTAAAATGTAAGCTCTTTCGATGTATTAAGGACTATTATTGCGTAGCATTTTCATTCATGACTATGCCCTCGTCGGTCCAAATGTAACAATGTCATGGTGACGCTCCACCCAATTGTAGGCTATAGTTAATTAATGCCCGAAGGCATGAACTACTTCTCAAAATTTTCCTACCCAATTGTTATAAAGTATCTCTCTTGATCCTTTGTCTTTAATTACATTTAAGCATAATTTATTAAACAGAAAATGCTTTAATAAGCAACCTTCATTAATACAAATATATGTAAATTAATATATCAGAATTTTTTATTTTCTACATTCATTTTGGAAGTAATAGTTAAAAAATGAAAGTAACACCTGTGAATGCCTCAAAGTACATCACTCATCTACATTCAAATAAATAATCTTACAATTAGATAAAACGGGTTTTACGGATTATATGGTGTTTTACATTTCCGACGTTTCGAGCACTTTACTGCACCCATGGTCACGAGGGGGACTGAGGTGTTTGACGTCTGAGGTCTTTACAAGATGCAGGAGTGAACAAGCTTGATTATGAATATGGTCTTTCCTATATAGGGACAAACTAAGAGATCACAACCCAAACACCTCAGTCCCCCCCACCCCCCCCCCCCCCCGCGTAACCATGGATGCTGTAAAGTGCTCGAAATGTCGGGAATATAAAATAAGTTAATATACTCGATAAAATCCGTAAATACTAGTTTTATTTAAATGTGTAGTGTTCGCGTAAATATTAAATTCATTAAATAATTTTAGATTGCGCATCTGAACAATGTATGAAGAGTCATATTTCTTTCAAATATATTGTGACTATTCTCATACTGGCTCTGAATTCAATCTTGCTATATCGATCTTAGCTTAACCATTTCATGGTACACGAGAAAATAAGGACATAGACACTCGAATACTATATATCTGAGTATACCTTTGTTAGTAATATAATGAATCACCTTTGTTAATTAATTCAGGACGATGTTAACGTAATTGAAGACATCATGTAGAAAGAAATCGTAGTAATAATTATCTCATTGGGATGAGATGATATCACTATGTCTTTGGCTAATTTTATTGCAACTATTGTTATACTTTGATAGCACGTGCATATTTCCCTTTTACAATATGTTGAAAGCAAAATTATGAACACGTGTTTTATTTGTATACATGACATGTTTAATACACTGGTATCAAATCTCGAAATTTTTTGGAACAACTTAAATCAAACAAGGTTCACAGCATTACATGATCTACGACATCGTTATAAAGACTATTTTAGTTGCATTTATAATGTAACGCTCTTTCACTGTTCAGCCGTAACAATGTCATGGAGACATTCAAGTCAATGGGTAAATGTCATTCAACAAATCCTACTGGGACAGTCAATGCCCGCAGGCTTTTTAATTTCCTTCAAGATTAATACGTATGTGATATTAAGATCATTTATTTAGTTTATTGATTTACGTTTATATTAATATAACGTGTAATTCTAACGTATCTTTTTTTTAAGTTGTTTATGCAATAGGAGGTAATTGCATTATAATGACTGACAATCCTAGATGTACTGAAACACTGGGTGTGTGTGGTGTATTTTTTTTATAGAATAAGGGTGACAAACGAGCACACAGTCCACCTGATAGTAAGTGGTTGCTGTGGCCCATAGACATTTACATCTATCTTCGTTTGCGAATTAAAATGCAGATGCGTTGTCAGCCGTGAGGACGAAGATGGAATGCCTCTTTTCGAGTAAAATGGGTCTCCGGTTCTCTATACTCATCATACGAAACACTTAGCATTAAGCTGCTATTTTACGCTGGTATTCTGTGAGAGCGTGGTCCTTCCCCGGTCGAGCCGACACATTCGTGCTACAACTATACTATTATATAGCTGCAGCATGGCTCTACCACGTAAAAATGTAGCATAGTGGGACATTTATATTTGAGACCGTGTAGTGATGTAAGAATATCCACTACCCAATATTATCTCGTGGGTGTCGTAAGAGGGGACATAGGGAAATTAAAACAGAAGATGGGCAGCAGCGTCTTTTTGATAACAACAACTCAAAATATTAAAAAAATAACTTGCCAACGCGCCTGTCAAGGGTGTCAGCTATTGCAAAATCCTCCTGATGAGGCAATCTATGGGGTGGCCTACGTTTAGTAGTGGACTTTAATAGGCTATAATGTAATAATAATTATAACTTAAAAAAAATTAAAAACCAACTTAATATTGCTAAAAATGAAGTTATTTATTTGCTACCCTCATCGATGGTATTTTTTCTCCAAATTTATATGGGACCACTCTTGAAGTATAAACTATTTAATAAAAAAAGAATCATCAAAATTGGTTCAAAACCTGCGAAGATATCGCGTTACATTCATAAAGAAAAACATACATTCTAATTGACAACCTCCTCCTTTTTGAAGTCGGCTGAATAAAATAGTTTTAATTAGTGTAATAACCAAATATAAATATGCAACAAAAAAATAAAGGTCCGAAATAAAGATTTATTTATTTATTGATATCAAATAACACGTTTTACATATGCAAACACGAGTTGTATATATAAAATGCCAAAGATTTAATGGTTTCCGAAAGATAGCGCTGTAACTATCTTATATCTGGCGCAAAAAACGCAGACTGGTTGGCGACGGGAAACAGTGACTTTGCGAAACGTCGATCGACAATCGGCCCGTCGAGCGTGGCGAATCTTATGAGAACTCATCGAGAGGCGGTGAAGTTTTACGGGGTGATGATAATGATGAATACTTTTGTACTAAAATCTTATTTACCTCCTGACAAAAAACTGAACAGAAAATTATTGTTTAGGCTTTATAGGGTTACCAATACATCTAAAACTTTTTTTTTGGAACGAAGTTCTTTATCGGACGGTACGGGTTTGGCGGATGGGAGCCTGGCGACAAAAAGTGTAAGATTTTTTCGTCACTACTCCTTGCATCATAATGTAGACAGCCTTGGAGGCGAAATGAGGAAGTGAGATGGAATAATATCCATCTCCGTCGCACTTTTTCTTATCTTGCCATGAAAGAAATATTATTTTATTTCAAATGACGCTCCATTGTAATAGACGCTAGTAATTCATTAATTTGTATTTGTTAATAATATAATACCTACGTTTATCAATAATAATATACTACGCAAGGAACTTCGTTCCAACCGAGTGTTGCACGACACTCACGCATTTTATTTATTTTAGAATTACAGTAAAGTTAATGGATGATCTTTTTTGTTCTAATATTTAAAAATTAAAGGCTGTAATGATGATGATGATGATTTAAAAATTACATCTATACTAATGTTCTCAATAGGGACATTTAGTCCAGAATATTATGTTACTTTTAAAAAATATGGTTTGATATGTGCAATGCGTATACTTTCCACGTTGTTTGCAGAAAACTTATCGAGAGTTTTTTTTTTAATTTATGTCGGACAACACATTGATTGTAGCTTAAAATAAAATAATATAAAATAAAATAATATAAAAAAGGTAAGGATCTAACCTTAATTAAAACCTTCCTTTAATTTAAGTTTCGTTGTAAGCTTCTTCTGGCCATATAAATGCCAGCATGACTAAAATTGTTAACGATTGAAATGCCTTGCAATTGAGAAATCAAGAATATTATGCAAACGTTTAATGTTTTATGACTGACTTGAACTGTTGAAGGTATGATGTCAAATAATAAGCAATAACAATATTCTTGAGGAAAAAAATCAAAACTCCACTACGTGAACATTTATAAAACATTAAAAAAGTTAAAAAAAAATAATTATATTATACCAAAGTAACAAAGAATATTGGTTAAAAGCCAAATACTAATCTTGTTGTTTTATAATGCATATGCCAACAACAAGTGCTTACACGTAACACTCTCACAAACATTTCAGTCGGAAAACTAGTTACGAAACTAAGCGGGAGGTGGCGCACAGAAGTTCTTAACTATATTATTCAAAAGCTTCGTTATTGCTCCCCATTTTTTTTGAACTGCAGACACAATAAAATGTAAAGTTATAAAATTACCACCTATATACGGCTCACTAGACATAGGCCTCCTTCTATTTCTTAAAGGGTGTCTTTCTTGATCTCCAATGCTAGAAATCTTTTACTTATCAGCAAGCTGATTTCCTCGTATATCTTATTAGCTTGAGGTTTTATTACGATCTTTTCTTTAAACGCCGAACACATAGCAAATCAACAGTTAAAATTACTATTAATAACTTAATTAGCACCAACAGTGGTTGAACTCGGGTGCTCGAGCAGTGTAAATTTTACGGTGAACTCTTAGAACTTGAGCTTTCACGGCCATTTCGGCACTTTCAACTTCAAACTGTAAAATGTAAAGTGGTCTGTCGACAGCATCGAGGCATTATGTTTGTTTTTAAAAGAAAACTATAGGAGCATATCCGTAGCCTACAAAGTTGAGTCAACTTATTTTATATGTTTATATATATCTATTTATATATATATATATATATATATATATATATATACACATAGATATATATGTATAAATGTGTGTATATTTTATGTATGTGTTGCATGTATATACTTGAACTGAATTAAGTCATGACAACTTAACTGCCCAAACTCACTTTCTGTTTTACATAAGGTTAGCTGGTAGAGAATGCCATATAGCGTTAAGCTCGCCTTTTGTAGAAATATTTAGTGCAATAAAGAATAAATAAAGAGGATTGTCAAAGACCCCTCTTTACTTAGCTTTAGCATCGGCTAGTGTCAGAAAGAGGTAATAAAACCACATAAAATTAAAAAAAGTTTTCTTTAAATAAAATAAAAAAAAATATGGACGAGTTTTTAAAAAAAAGTTATTTCTATAGGTTT